TTATTGTCTTTTCTCCTGAGAATTCCATCGAACCCAATTAGTGATTCTGCGCCACTCGATGTTGAAGGCAACGCCAAATGAATTTTGCTTTAGTGAACAATGCAGCAGGACTGAGAGCCACACCAGGACTAAAAACAGGAGCCAACCCTGCGCCAAATTATGCTCCTTTTCACTCCAATGCATCCGCTTCCTTTGTCTGTGTCAAATCAATTAGCAAGTGCAATTAATGAAGCGCAGTGCAAGAAAGTCCCAAAAAATAATAAAAGAAAAACTAAAAATGGCAAGAAAATCACAGGAAAATTCAGCTACGGTCAGCTGCTGCTGCTGCTGCAGGTGAGGAGAAGGAGGAAAAGCAAGAGGAGTGCACACAGCAATTTGTCTTTTCCATTAATTATTTAGACACACACACCAAAAGGGGGGCAGGAATAATAATGTTGATGATGACGATGGCAGCTTGGAAAATTCTTGGCAGCAAGGAAATGCAATGCAAAAGCGGCAAAATCCAAAGAAATCAGAGAGAAGAGAGCTGGGAAATGGCTATTGGCAGTTAATTAATTGAATTCTGTTCAAGTAACGTGTTGCAACTGACTGCAATTGCAGCAAAAACTTTTTTTTCAGGGGGAAAAGCGGGAAAAAAGGGAGTGAGAAAAGTAGGAAAAGTGGGAGGTAGTCAAGTTTGGTCAAGTTGCGTAACAAGTTTTGGCGCATAAAGTCATTAAAGTTTTCTGATTCGATTTGGCGTCTTATCCCTTTCATCCGTTTCCCATTTTTTAAGACTTCCTCTGCCCTCGGGTCCAACTTTCTTCTAAGCTTACAAATTAATGACGCTCGAATGGGGGGAAAAGCAAAGTTTTTTAGGCCATAAAAATATATCGTTTTACCTGAAAAATGGAAAAACCCAAAAGGGTTTCGCTTTTCGCTTATTTTTTATGCATTATTTATGATTTCTCCGATTAGTCGCGGCAATAATGGCTCGCTCAGCACAAAAAAATAATAATAAAAAAGAAAAACAGGAAGAGAAAAACATTGTCAACCTTATGCGGGCTGTCCTCTTACTTTTCCCCCCCAAATTTTCCTGCCTGGGGAAAAGTGTGCTAAGCCAGCGAAAATTCCTATTGCCAAAGGGGATTTGCAAATGGTTTTCGGTTTTCCGTATGTGGGTTTTCTTTTCCCTGAGACTCTTATCAGGCCAAAAAATATGCACAGCAAAGCCATTTTTAGTCTTATTTAATACTTGAAAGCCATCAAAAGTTATTATTTACTTATTTTAAAGCTATTATTTAGCTTTGGTATTATAAAATACATTTTGAAAATGATATTTAAAGACACAGAGGCCTTAAAAGTTTGCATTTTATGTTCGTAAATCTTTTCCTATGAAGTATTGATTTTTGTTTAAATTAGGGAAACCTTTACTTGGAAAAAGATATTGTTGTTTATCGAAGATTCTTAAAAAACGCCCCCTCTAGGCTCTCTATTATCAGTAGGTCAGTGCCGCTAGGTGGCAACTCTGGCCAAACAGCTGATCGTGCCAGGACTTGTAACCTAAATTAAACCCACTAATGAAAGTCCTAGGGAAGATGCCTTCATTGGCTTTGCCAGGTGAGAGTGTCTTAAAGACACACGAGCAACTCTATCTGCCTGTAAACCAAGCAAATTAAGTTTGAGTTATTTTATGATTGCATTAAATGGAGGGTTAGAGTTGGATCTGGAAAAGGCTAATGGTAACAATACGTGGCGCTGTCACTACAACTCAACTTTCCACATCGTTCTCTGCGCTCCATTAATTTAGAACACACACACACACACCCATACATGCTGGGGTTCCTTTATCCCCCTTTTAGCAGTGCGTCTGCCACGCCCCTTTGATTGGTCACGTGCTTGGCACGGGTCCCTCCTTCCCCCTTTCACCTACTCCACCACTAACCAGCTTTGGGCTTCAATTCGTTGTGATTGCTTTGTATCGATTACAAAATGCATTACAACATTTGCCACATGATAAATAACAGACAGTAAATGGATATAGCAATGAGGTAGCGACGGTGGGGGCGTGGCTGCACTTGAAATTAATGCCTACGATTGGGTTTCGCCCACGGTGATGGTAAGCCGATCAGGGCTTCTGGCAATGGAGGTTCTAAATGATGGGAATTCTAGGGTTTTAGAAATGAGTATTAAGCTGAAAAGTTTATTTAGTTGAAAATGTAACTTTAAATAACCAAATTTATAAATTATAAAATTTATATGGTAATTTATAAAATAATTTAGAGTCCAAGAAGGTCTTAAAAAGAGTTTTACTTGATTAAAATCTTATTGAGCACCAGGTATTATTACTTTTTGGCTTCACTTTCACCTATAATATTCCCTTTAGTGTGACCAAGCTTACTTATTTGTGTTCAGAAAATATAGCTACCACACTAGCAACCTTTTTTTTAAGTCCACTGGATTAATATTAATTGAATACTATTTTTTTTAATTTTAATTTAATTTTATATATTTATATTTACATTTTATATATATTTTTTTTAGCTTCAGTGTGACCAAAATTGTCTTTTTTACACATTTTTAGGAAGTGACTGCCACTCTAAAAAGATTTCCCTTCTTAATAAACCTCCCTTAATGAATTTTACTTGATTATAATCCCATTTGCCATCAGATATTATTACTATTTGAACTTTACCTTCACCTGACTGCCATTTGGTACCCACTTCAGTGTGACCAAGCATTCTTATTTACATTTCTAAACCACCACTGCCACCACTTGCCAATGCAGGCACTCTTCTTCCATTTTTAACCTCCCAGCGGACATTGCAAGGACATTAACCCACACGTGCCTGGCCGCCATATGAAGGGGGGCTGCTTTGAAAGAAAAATAAAATGCAATTGCGTGATTATTGAGCGATTTGTATCAATTTACCAAGATGGAGAGGCCAGCGAAAAGCTGCCTCAAATGTTTATTTATGCAATTCACTTGCTTATGCCATTGCTAGCTATGTCGAGGGGAATGATTATTGATATCTGTATCCATACGTGCCCAACCCCACACCCCACTCCCTGGTTATACATGTATATATAAACTTGTGGCAAGCGAAAACTCCGGGGAGGATTGCAGCTCAAGACATTTGTCGCAACGTGCGAAAACTTTTGCCGAACAAGTGTCTCTCTCTCCCCCCTTACACACAGCACACTTGTTAGCTTCTCAAGTTTATTAAAGTGGCATAAAAGTGTCATTGGCGTCTAATGGACGACGATTAGTCGAAAAGAAAGCCTCGATCCCTAAGCCCCCTAAGAACGACTCGAAAACTAAGTTCAAGTTGAACCCCATAGCAATCTTTTTCTCTTCCGGGAAGAGCGTAATTGAATGGAGGCAATTTCAGAAGCGAATTGAATTCAATGAAGGAATCTTTGAATTAGTATTAAAGGTAATCTTTAGATATAGAATTGAATAAGGTTTAAAGTTCTTAAGATATGGTATTGATTTAGTTTTAAAATTGTACCTAAGATATGGTATTCAATCATTCTTAAAGTGGTACCTAAGATATGGTACTAAATCATATTTAAAGTTGTACCTAAGATATGGTATGTTATATTTTAGGCACAGGTTTGCTAGTTCTTTTAAAAAATATTTATTTAAAATCCCTAAAATCCTTTCAAAACGTATTTCTCAGGTACAGTTCCTGTTACATTGTCAATCTTTAATGTCGCTACCCATCTTACTATTAGATTGACTTTGCTCTTGGCAAGGACCCCCACCGTGTGTGTGTGTGCTCTCTCAAAAATAATTGTTATGTTAGTTTGGCAGCTTATCGAATGTGTGTGCTCTCTCGGCTCTCCTTTCCGTTATAACAACTTATCGATATTAAACTTGGCTTCTTTAATGGCTCGAAAAAGGAAAACTTCTCTGAGGGGCGGGAGGAAAAACTTATTGAAAAGTCATAAAAAGCATAAAATACCAAAATGGCTCAAGACAGAGTAAAGTAAAGTGGGGAGGCCAGAGAGCTCTTTGCTAAAAGGACATAAACTGGGAAAGGAAACTGTTTTCCACCCCTTTTCTTTCTTTTCTTTTTTTTTTTTTTTTTGTGTAAATCATTTAACACGCTCTCGATTTTTATTTTAATGACATCTTGGCAAAGTTCTATAATGGCTTTGGGTTCTCTGAGAGCCTAGCTCCTTGGAGGCTGTGCAAATTTGTCCTTGTGCCCGTCATGCATTGTTGATGATGTTGAGGCGTCAAAAGGTTACCAGCTTCCAGGATGGATCCAGTGCACCCAGTGCCGTGTGTTAATGATCATCATGAATATTCCGGCATTTGTTTGTTTGTTTGCTTTGCTTTGAGCAAACTCTGCCAAAATGTTAATATTCCCAGACCCAAAAACGAAAACTAAATGAAAACTAACCGAAAACTAAAACTAAAACTAATCCTGAGCCCCTTTGGCGGCATATTCACCTGGGAGAAGAGAGTCACTAAATATTTGATTAACTTTCCGAGGGCAGTTTCTCTCCGTGTGTGTGTGTGTGTGGAATCAACTTAATTAAAGTTAAACAAGCAGCTAATCAAATTTTTATTACACACAGTCTCTTAGCCCTTAGCTTGCCCTCTTACCTCGCCTAAACGTGGCGTAATTTCATTTTAAAAATGCATACTCTCCAAACCCCAAAGGGTGGCGGGGGGCAGTCACCTAAAAAGGATTGTCTCCCTTTTGTATTTCTCCTTTTTTTTCTATTTTCCTGCTAGGGGAGAGCTTTGTGCGGATTGAAAGGAAAATATATGTATGTAGTTTCCTCTCTTTGTGTGGATATTAAAAAACGGAGCAAACAATTGTCAGGAAAAATAAAGTATAGCTAGTTAAACATTGGAGTCTTGGAAATGTCTTCAAAAAGAGAGCTCAAAACAAACACAAAAGATATTCATTTTTAAAATGAAATCATTAAAATCTAGGGAAAATATAGCAGAACTTATTTAAACTTATAAATTTATTTGAAAATAACAATAATCCAAGGAAATTTCAAACCCCCTTCACATTGTGATCAGAAGCTTCTTGAAGCCATGGAACTGCACGCTTCACATACTCATCCATATCATAGAACTCCTCCTCGGCAGCCCAGGAGCTGCGAATGCTGGAGTTCATCGTAGAACTAGGGATGGGCATTAGGCTGAGACTCATGCTGAGGGGCAGGGATAACAGAGAGCCATTAAGCTGGAGCTCCGAAAGTGACACATCCGAGTGAAAGTTGATGGTATTGATGGAGTTGATGGTGGTCAGGGTGTTGCTCTTGTTGGTGGGCTGTTGCTGCTGGATGTTCAGAGAGTGCTCCTGGTTCAGATGCTTCTCCAGCTGCTTCTTGGCGGGTCTTGGGGAAGAGGAACCACAACAGCCCAAGGAAAGTAAGAGACACATGATTTGGGGGCATAGAACTGGGATTAAATTATATATTTATTTATTTTAATATTTATTTAAGTTTTTGTTTCAAACTCTGTACCCTGCTGTATTCCTTAGTTTTTTTTGCCTCCGCCTGCGGCTTCTCCAACTAAGTGCCTCTTACTAAGGCTCTAGCACCCCAAGCTAATTGTTTTTATAGCTGCAAACTGTTTTACCTCAAAACTACCAGCTGTTTTCCTGCCTCAGTACAGTTGTGTTCCTCGAAAAAAAAAAAACACCAAACAAAAACTCGGCAAATAATTCGAAATCGAAACTTAAACCGAACCCATCTGTCTCTCCCTGGCTGCTCATTATGCAAAATGATGTCACTTATGTTAATTTCCAAAATGCACTAGACTCCATTACCAATATATATATATATATATACAGCAAACAAAGATGCTTTTCAATATTTTATAAGGGGTTACATCGGAAAAATTAAAAAAAAAATCCAAAAAATATCTGATCAAAATATTAAATACGCTTAAAGATCCGAAAAATGTTCGCTTAAGATATTAAAAACGAACAAAGAACCGGACTTTCCGCATAAGTTTCGCTAAATGCTCAAAAACGGACGCGGAAAGGGACGAATAGCGGTCGAGTATAGCGGATTCTCTGGATTATACCCGCTAATGATGTCTGAAAAGGTCCGCAATCAAAATCTAATTTCCTAAAATGATATCATTTGCTGCCACAAAACCAATGACAGGTGATTAACTTTATTATCGTTGATAAGTCTGAATCGGACGTCCGCAAAACTATCGTTTTCAATATCATAAACAAAGTTTTTGTCTGCTGGGTATACATAAACTCGGATGCACTGCATATATTATATGTATTATCGACATTATCAACATTATCAAAGTGGAAGCTCCCACTGACTACCAATTGTGTTACCAATTTGCGAATGCAAATCAGCAAAGCAGTCGAGTGAAATTTCACACCACCTGGCTTCCACCTGGCTTAAATTTTCAATGTGTGTATGCGAGAGGAGGCGGAGCAGCTCTCTCACATCTCTGTAGAGGCCATGGGAGTCAGGATTTCGATGTCATCCTCGATGGCAATGCCCGAGTTGCGCTTGGAGTAGGACACAAACCGTGACTCTGGAAGCAGGACCACATCGGGTTGAAAATGGATATCGGCACAGATGCTTATGGGTTCCAGCTGGGCGGGTGAGTGCGAAGCAGGGCGACTAGACCCGGCTCCTCCCTCCAACAGGATCCTACGGCAAGGACAATCCAGAATATCTGGATGCTGCTGCTGCTGCTGCTGCTGCTTCTCCATCAGCTGGTCCGAGGCCAGGATGGTCTCGATCTGTTGCTGATCCTGGAGGCGTCTCCTTTGGCAGAAGACAAACAGGAGCCATTTCTCCAGGATGTGCATCTTGTTGATGGCTCTGCTCGATGATTTCTCGCTGCCCTGGCTCAGCCCACGGCTTTTATAAGAACAAATCGATGAGCGAGCATGATGGGTCGGGGGGAGGGTGCCTGTGCCTTGCCTGTTGTTGTTCTTAGCCAGTTCTGTTTGCTTATCCAAAATGTTGTTGGTGCCACAGTCTTTGTTTCCCCAACTTCAATTTCAATTAGCATTGGACCGACCAAAAAGTTTTTAGCACTAATGAGTTTTGTAATTATACGAAAAGTTGGAAAATGAATACAAAAGCCGAAAAGAAAAATCTCTCCTTCCCAGAAGCGGGTGGTGGCAGAGCCTTTAATTTTACATTTCTATATAAATATGTATATAAATATACATTTTTTTGTGTTGTGAATGATTTACGCAGGCAAAGAAATTGTAAAGCGATAATAACGTAAACGAGAAGGGAATGTTTTTCTTTTGGTGGGATGAGTACCAGTAGAGGCAAGTTCTCATTGGGCAGCAGTTTAAAATAATGATATAGAAACAGCAGTGCAGATTTCAGGCTCGATTTAATTCATTTAATGGAAATTCTTTGGAATTTATTTAGCTCTACTTAATAGGGGTTCATTGAAGAACTTTAAAGTAGCACAAAATACAAATTAACGCTTTAAATTTCGATACCTTTACAGTTAAAAGCTTAAAACGCAGTGAAGGAGTCATTTCCTACCCCATAAACCATATATATTTTTGATCAGCATCAACAGGCGAATCGATTTAGACATGTCCGGAAATCAAGTTTTGGAATTTTTTTTTTTAATTTTATAGATTAATTTACAAGAATATTAAAAAAAAAAAAAAAAAAAAAATTTAATATTTTAAAAACTAAAATTAAGTATGCACATTTTTAAAACTAATAAAAACTAACTCAGAACAGTTTTCCGAATGAAAATTAAGGCATTTTCTGCCAAGTTATCATAATGTTAATTTAAAAAAATTAAGACTTTTTTTTTTAAGTACAAAATCGTATTTTAATATAAGATCATATTTTTTCTGGGTGAAGGAGTCATTTCCTACCCCATAAATCATATATATTCTTGATCAGCATCAACAGGCGCATCGATTTAGACATGTCAGGAAGAAATCAATTTTTGGAATTTTTTTTTTAATTTTATAGATTAATTTACAAGAATATTAAAAAAAAATGAAAAAAAAATTTAATATTTTAAAAACTAAAATTAAGTATGCAAATTTATAAAACTAATAAAAACTAACTCAGAACAGTTTTCCGAATGAAAATTAGGGCATTTTCTGCCAAGTTATCATAATTTCAAATTGATTATTTCAAACAAGAAATTTTAAATAGAAAAATATCGATTTATAGCACCGTTTCAGTATCGATATTATGTGCTAGCCCTAATTAATGTTACTTTTTACTTTCCCAATTGAATTTTACAGGGTATTTCAAAGGTCTATATACCTTTACTTGTCGGCTGAAATGTTTACTCTACGGGGGTTTCCCCACTCTCCGCCTTGGCGACTGTGGCAAACTAGAAAAATATCAATGTCATTTGCAGGCCCTTGGCCAAAAATTGAGGGGGTGGAAAAAAAAAATGCAATGTCCGGGAAAGGCAGCGGACTTTGTTACTTGTGTAATGTTAGATGGGTTTGTGTCTGTTCTCTGGCGGCAACTGGCGGGGGATTCGGTATCCATAGAGCTCTGGGCACCGGGTTCTGGGTTTTGGGTTCCGGGTTCCGGGGATTGGAGTGTTCTCCCGCTCTCTCCCTTCCTCTGTTCCCTTTTTTGTCAGCCGCATCATTGCGGTTTCAGAACGGAATTTTTCGCAATTCCCAGTTGGAGTTGGTTGTGTTTGTTTATGTCTGTGCGTGTGTGTGTGTGTGTGTGTGCTTGTTTGCCCGTATTTGGGGAGTTCCACGTTAGATACCCTATACAAAAGGAATGCCTTATTTAAGGTCTCTTTAATGAGTATTTTAATTTAAAATCTAATAATAATTAATATGTTGAAGAAAATGAACACTAAGAAAGTAAGGAAGAATATAAGAAAAAACTATATATAAGGAAATAATAAAGAAAATTAGATAGAAAATGAATTTCAGAAAAATGAACTCCAGGAAAATGAACACAAAGAAAATGAAGAGAATGAACATAAGTAAATAAATTATGAAGAAAATGAGAAAGAAAATGAGGGAATAAATGAGAAAGAAAATTATGAAAAAAAAGATAAATACAACGTTTAAAATAGGAGAGAAAATAAAAAGAAAGAAAATGAATTTGAGAAAAGTGAACACAAAGAAACGGAAGAAAAATAATATTAAGAGGAAAAATATAGTCTAAACAAAAGGATCATAGATAGAAACCTTTTTATTAATAATTTAATTGAATTAATAAATTTTTTATTTACAGGGTATCTTCTGGTTGCTTTTTAGACTTTCAAAACCTCTCGTTTGTTTATATAGCTCGGTTGGTTACTGGTTTTTTTTTTGATGGTCCTGTGTATAGTTTTTGGGCGCTGGTCTCGTGACAAGCCAAGCGCATAACCGCAAAACAGACGCGTGGCGCTCTAGATGGGGGCGATCAGGGGGTGGTTACCACCCCTAATACAAACACATACACCACTCACACACACACACACTCCCCTACCCCTCTGACCATTTCATTTTCAATTTGTAGTGCATACTTTTTGGGGCTTTCTCGGTTTCTATGCCAATCTGCGTTTCTTAGGCGCCTTCAATCTCCTTTTTTTTATGGAAAAAGGCAAAAGGAGAACAGGAAAAGAGAGAGGGGAGACTAGACCAATCTCTCCCTGCCCTGCCTCCCCCCTCCTATTTTGCCTTTGTGGTCATGCCCACTTGATGCGTATTTAATTAACGTTAATTGAAATTGATTTATGTATGCAGCCTGCGTACGATTGCCACCCCTTTTTGTTCGCCCCCACTCGCCATCCCCGCTAAAAAATATGCTGCGTGAAATTTGTGGCGAGTCCTTTCCTCCCGCGGGGTTTATTTTCTCCTTATTTTATTTGCCAAAACAGGCAGAGATTCCGAGAGGGTTTTAGCTCAATTGACAAATTTTCGGCATATTGAAGCATGAAAAATTTCCGGGGGATTGGAGTTCTCTCATTAAATTGATTAAACCAAATGCAAACAGATGTTTTTTGGGGATGAAATTGCGTAGAAAAGTGAAAAATAATTTGAGGAAATAGAAAAAACATGGGTTACATTTTAAATTATAATTGGGAAGTGATAAAGTTAATTTATTTAAGGTATTTTTAATGTTTTTTATAAACTTGTTAGACTTTTTATATTTAAATTGGTGTCTTGGAAATGTAAAAAAGTTGAAAATAATTATTTTTATTTATGTTTTTGAGAAGAATATGAAAATAATTGATACAAAATTTATTTGAATTATATATAGTATTTATTTATAATTTTTAACATTTTTTTTATTAACAATTTTATATTTTAGTTAGTTTAAAAAAAAAACGTTTAAACTGTAATTCTAGTTTTAAATTTTGAATTAATTTTTAAAACAATTAATTTTCTAAATAATTTCCAATTGACTTGAAGTCACACTCTTGAAAAATAATATAAGAATAATAATAATATATTAATAATAATTATATAAAATAATCCAATCACACCTAGACCTTAGAAATTATATATAAATAATATATGTACATCTGGCCAACCTTCTCCCGCCCGCATTTTTCCGCCCACAAAAATTAACGAGCGAGGA